GGGGGGGGGGGGGGGGGGGGGGGGGGGGAAAAAAGTGTAATTGTGTTGTTATCACATACTTTTTGGAAGTGTTTTGAAGTCAATGCAACGTTCAACGGGCCTTTGCTCTAAGACAGCTTTTGGATGCTTTGTTCGAACAGATACCCGATATATCGTTGAAGGCAGTAAACCATTTAACTGCACCTGAAAAAAAAAAACTGCTTTTTACGTTTACTCCTTTTTTGTTTTTTTTCTTCTTTTTAGCACTGAATATAATTGGAAACAGAAAAAAAAACAAACAAATTTGTTTAACTTTGCTAATTAATTTTTACAATGTCTAAAAGAAATAAATGTTTCAAATACAAATGATTTTTCTTTTTCATTTTTGTGAAATATCAACTATTTTTTTTTAGTGATGCAACATTTTCAAGCTTCAGTTTCTTTTTTTGATCTTTAGAATCCTTTTTTTTTCAACCACCTTTCTCTGTTTTTTTTTTTTTTCTTCCTCTTTTCTATAAAATTTTCAAATTTTTCTTTTTTTTTTTTTTAAATTCAATAAACCGTAGACAATTGTTTGATTTTGATTCAGTTTTTTTGTGTGTGTTTATTGCCTGTCAACGGCATTTGTCTATCAGAGGAGAAAAGAAAAGAATGAGCAGCTATTTTTTTCTTTTTTTTTTTGCTGTTGTTGTTGCTATTTCAAAAGAAGAAAAAGAAGAAGAAGAAGAATTACTACTGCATTTTTTTGGATTATTCTTATCAATAAGCTTTTTTCTTATTCTCTTTTATTTCCTTCTCTTTTTTTTTTTTTTTGCTTTTTTTTGAAAAGTGTAATTATTTATTGAAACATATACAAGTTTTTAAAAAGATTTTTGAGATACTATTAACCATTATCATATCAAAAAAAAATTTTTTTTTTTTTGACTCCTCAACTGTATTCTGAATGTTAAAGAGTCAAATTTGAAAGCAAAAAAAAAAATTTTGTTATGAACCAAGTTTTTTAACTGATAACTAAGTTGGAAGAAGAAATTAATCAAGTCTATAATACAATAGGTCTAATAAATTGGCAATGGGGTTACTGAAATTCACTAATTAGCCGCCTTTAAAAGGCTCAGTCTGAAAAATTTTTAAGAGTTTAAGTTTGACAACTTTTGCACTTTGATTAACAAAGTTGGATCATAGATTTTTTGTTGTTTTTTTTGTTGTTGTTGTTGTTGTTGTTTCATTTACTAAAACTTACCTATAAAAAAAAAAACAGAAGATAAAGATTGGAGAAAAATCAGTGGATGAAAATGTGAAAATATATTTTTAAAAATAATCAGCAATTTGTCCTATATTTTTTTTGTCAAATTACTCAGTGTTTTCTTTTTTGAGTAGTATTTATTTGAGATAAATTTTTTTTTTT